CCAGAAATTCAAGCTAAAAGACCTAGGAAAGTTAAGATACTTCCTAGGAATAGAATTTGCAAGGTCTAAAGAGGGAATACTGATGTAACAAAGGAAATATGCACTGGAAATGATCTCAGATGTGGGATTAGCAGGTCCAAAGCATAAAGATACACCTATGGAGCAGAACATGAAGCTCACAAGTATAGAATTTGACAAAAGTATAAATGCTGGCACCTCTGATGAAACATTGGAAGATAGGGGGAGTTTTCAAAGGCTGATTGGAAAACTTCTGTACCTCACAATAAATAGACCAGACATTTCTTATATAGTTCAATGCCTAAGTCAATTCATGCATGCACCCAAGAGATCCCATTATGAGGCAGCTCTACATATTGTCAGATACATAAAGAGACAACCAGATCTAGGAATCCTCATGTCAAGCAACGAGACACAGCATATTGAAGCTTACTGTGAATCTAATTGGGCATCTTATCCCATGTCAAGGAAATCTGTGACTGGCTACTGTATTAAGCTAGGTGATTCATTGATCTCTTAAAAAGCAAAAAAACAGAGCACTATCTCTGGAAGTTCTGCTGAAGCAGAGTATAGAAGCATGACACACACAGTAGCAGAGTTGGTTTGGCTTAATGAATTATTGAAAGAATTAAGAATGGATGTGAAGTTGCCAATAAAGTTGTTTTGTGATAACAAAGTTGCATTACAAATTGCACCAAATCCTATGTATCATGAGAGAACAAAACACATCGAAATAGACTGTCACTTCATAAGAGAAAAAAATACAAGAGGGGCTGATTGAAACTTCTCACATACCAAGTCAACAACAACCAGCAGACATTTTGACAAAGCCTCTTGGCCATCAGCAGCATTCTTTTCTATTGACCAAGTTGGGAATGAAAAATATTTTTCATTCTCAACTTGAGGGGGAGTGTAGAGATATAAAGTCTAGTTGAGGGTGTTTGTACAGTATGCTATTTAACATGTACATTTCTAGAATAGTCTATTAGTTAGTAGTTCTGTATATATCAGAAACATACTCCTGCACAGAGCAGTTATGTAAGAAAGAAAAGAAATATAATTTTTTCTCTCTCTTCGATCCTCTATGTTACTCTGTGTATTTCATCCCTTCTCACTAGATCTTGCCTCCATGTCCATGGCAAATCTAGCTTGATTTTGACATAGGTTACTTCAGATAAGTATGGGTTGATAAGCTACAAAACATAGTAAATGACATGTCACAACATGCAAAACTACACCAATGATATTATTTACACTACTTTTAGTATATATTATTTAAATCCTTTTGAAAAATAATATAAATTACCAAGCACAAAGAAACACACCCATATATGCACATGATGCACACAATTGAGAAGAGAATTTTATGATATGGAATTGAAGGAATTGGTCATGTATTTACCTACTTCTGCTCCTTTATTGATGTGGAGTATGAAAAGAAATAATGCTGATAACATGAATATACAGCTAGGTATGCATGCAGCTGAAATGGTATTCTACCATTGAAGGACTAACAAAATTTCCTCGTGAGATCTTCAGAATATTGCAGTGAAAGAAAAGTCAAAAAAATTGAATGCTTTCTTAGTATGCATTCATCCAAAAGTACATTTTTCAGCAAGATTTTTCGGCAAATATGTTTGGAAAAGCACCTACATTGTTAAAAGTTTTATGATTCATTCTAAAGGACTCTTTCAACTTTCCACCTGTTTTTTCCTTAATTTCTTGCTATGTGAGTAGCATTTTTGGAAGTGGTCGCTCAAATAAATATGAAACCTAGCTACATGTTTAGGATAGTTATTAAATAAATAAAATTATGTTATCTCTAATAGTACTATAAATTTTTAGATAAAATGATTATATAATTCAATATGATATTAGCGCAAGCAAAAAGCTCATGATTTCTAAGTCTCATTGCAACTCTTGATAATGAATTGTTACGTGTTAGCCAATTAGTCTCTCCTGCAATAAATAAAAGTGTGCTTTATCTAAAATAATTATCTTTTTTTTCACTCTCAAGTGTTTCTTGTCTTAGGAATGGCAGGCGGTGCAGGGCGGGTTCTGTCTGAACCCGCACAATCTAAACCCGCCCTGCCCTGCATAGGATTTAAATCCGCATTCATCCGCCCCGCACTCCACTCGCGTTCACCTGCCCTGTCCCGCCCCGCAAATGTTTTTAATTATAAAAAGTCTTTCTTTTTTAGAAAGCTAGACTTAAATCTGATTTTTTAACAAAACAATTAATTATATCCATATTGTTCTTAAATTCCCATCTTTTGCCTCTGAATCCCGTGGGTTTTCCTATAGAACAAGTTGTTGAGGAGATATTATCGTGTCAATTGTGGTTATAATTGGTCCTTAAGGTCAAAACTCTCACTTGTCTATTATGCTAATGTATTATCAATTGTTTAGTCCTTACTTTCTGTTTAAACGTGATGTTTTTCGTGCTATGTAAAAGGCACCCGATTGATCTGTATGATAGAATTTGGGATGCTGATGAAGATTTCAGTCCATTTCATGTGTCTTCTGGTTTTGACATTCAAGCCAATTTCAATATGTCAGTTCTGAAAGAGAGCCCTCCTGCAGCTGTTCTTCAAACTGGAAGAGTATTGGCACGTCGAAACGTCGGGACAACGGTTTTAACATTTAGCCTTTTAAAATTAAATTTCCACCCGAGCCCCGCCCCGCCCTGCGTTATTTTTTTAATTTAAAAATTGAACCTGCCCCGCAACCGCAAAGTCTCAAACCCGCACACCTCCGCTAACGTTCAAACCCACACTGCTCCGCACCCGCATCGCCCCATTGCCATCCCTACTTGTCTTCCAAGCGGCAAGCACTAACATGGAAATAAAAGAACACATGCATAAAGAACGTTTAAGGAATTCCTATCCATTTTTCTTCTTATAGCTAATGTTCTGGGGTGTAAAGAGTGGGAACGTGTATACCTTCACGTTCAAATATTGGAAACAATTATTAGAATTTGACTACACAAATATGTAGGAATAATTAGCGTACTTGACTTTGTATATATATGGATAAGGTAGAATGTTAGGAATTTGGGATTAAATCATGCATACGTGTCTGCAGACATACATAGCCACATGTTCTAAATAGTGTAACTTTTTGTCATTGGCTTCTTGTCAAGGAAATAAAAAGTGAGTACATCCCTACCTAAATTATCATGTTTGCTGATAAAAAGAAAATTCGGAGAAAGCATAAGAGTCAATTAATATGTACCCTTCTTAAGTTATGAGACATGAATGATGGCTCATGGAAATGAATCTAAAGTCATTTAGGTTTTACTAGTAAGAAGTTAAAAGTTAAACTCTATGGATAAGAAGTAGATAATAGTCACACACACCGACCAACACTATCGAATTGTCTTTTTTTAGTGTTAGAGTAGATTTCCATTTTTGTTAAGTTGCCTGTGTCCAATTGATAGAAGTCAATACTGATGGACGTACTCTTATGGTCTTACTTGAAAATGAATTATTACTCCATTTTAAGGTATTGTTCCTAGAAAAAGTTAAGCTAGCCTTTCTCATTTTACATTTACCATCTCTCTTTTGATTTATCTACCTTTGAAAATTCACTGACGGTGTAAAGAATTATTACCAACGTAATGGTGGGAGATAGGTGGCGAGCTAGTACGTTCAATTTTGTGCGTATTGCATGGGATACAACAATTATGCATGATATTGGCCTTTTAAAATGGGGCCAAGCGGTTTTAAATTTATGAATACAAGTTAAACTAAGAACATCAACAAATCAAAGTCGTGATTGGTGAATGGCAAAGTTGGACACTATTGCTTTCGCAAGAATTGACCAAGTTGTCCCACTATTATTTATAAACTGTTCTCCCTTTATGAGAACATATTCCCAGCTGTAGTCATAAAAAGGCCCTTTGTAGTGAAGTTAAAGTCAGCTCTTGTCTGTGCTACCACCATTTTCCTTTAATAGCTACGAGTTTAGTAGTACTAATGTTTGAAAATAATGGCTTTAGTTCTGAAAGAAAAACTGTTCACTGGTAGCAGACCAGTAAGTCATTGCAACGTGGATTCTTCCTACTTTTTTTTCTTCTTTTCGATGCCCAATGAGGATGTGTGAGAATTTGACGATAGCGATGTCTAAGGAGAAGTAGAGATAGGCCGAAGAAGTATTAGGGAGAGGTGATTAGGCCGGATATGACGCATCTTTAGCTTACCGAAGATATGACTCTTAATAGGCGGGTGTAGAAGGCAAGGCTTAGGGAGAAGGCTGGTAGGCATTTGAGCGTCTTTCCTTTATTACTACATGATATTGCTTATGTTTTGGTTGTTCTACTATCTTACTGTTGTTATTGCTTCTCTGGCTTTTATACTACTGCATTTCTTCTCTATATTGTTGTGACTTTGCATGCTTGCTTGGACCCTAGGGTTTATTCGAAAAGCCTTTTTACCTACACAAGGTAGGGGTAAGACTGAATACTCATTACCCTCCTCTAACCCTACTTGTGAATTTACACTGTTTGTTGTCATTTTAGCCCCTTAATTTCTTTTGAACTGAAAGCTCAAACCTTTAGAAATATGGGTTGAGTATTTGAGATGATTCTAGTATAGTTCTACACAGAGAAAAATGACTGCAACCATGTCATTTAAAGTTTCAAACACCTACTTCAGTATAATAGGTTTCACATATTTCTTTTTTGGCCTCACATTTACTACAGTAGTCCAGGAAAAAATCAGCATTTCTTTGATTATGTTTTGATACTCTAATCAAATTCAATTTATTCAGAATTCTACTGATCCAATGGCGTGTCCCTTTCAAGTACTTTAGAGATAGAAATTATTTTGACCTTCATATCATGATTTTCTACATGAGTAGGTGAAACAATATTGCATCATAAATAGAGGCAACAAAAAGTTTTGTGTAAGTGTACTATGAGCCCATATTTCGACTAGCGAAAAACCCCAATAAATAAATAAACAAATAAACTGAGAGATCAAGAGAGAGGAATATAGATGATGTATATATCATTACTTGACAATAGTCTCCCCTGAAACAGCAATCTCCCATTTGCAATTAATCTGTAACAAGCTGCTGCTGAAACCCCATATACATTTTATGAGAATACACTAAGATGGCATACTCAGCATTTTCTAGGGGACCCCTGCTTCTCCGCAACAACTTATCAACACAGAGCTGAAGTTGTTATAACATGTCTTCACGGCATTCACAAGCTGCGCGATTCTTAGTTTTTGTGTATAACTGTGTATAATGCAAATCAATGGTAAGATCTCAGGTGAAAGATTTGGCAGCTAGGGACGTATGATTTCTTCAAAGCAGCTAGCTCAAACTTCTTAATGGCGACTTCATTTTCCTCTAAACTTGTTTGAACAAAAAACCGGACCCACCACGTTGAGCTCCTCAATTTGGCCTTCGGGCAGAACATAAAGCAAAGGAGGAAGTTCGGATCAGGTTTCAAAATTAGCAGATAATCTAAGTCAATATACTATCAATTCTTTTTAAAGGAAACAAAACAGACAAAGAAGAAGATCGATATGATCAGGAGCAGGCATTTCCCTAAGATATTCTACTATACAACTTTGGCTGCTGATTTATAGGTGTATCACCTTTGCAGCATGAAGTCTGTGCGACAAACATATATAAACAATTTTTCTTTTTGATATGAAAAAGAAAATGGCTTCTGACAAATAGTGATATGCTACTGCATGAATGGTGATTGATGCAATCTGAGGTTTCAAATTTAAGAACTCTAAAAGGTGCACTCAAATTTTCTTATGCAACATCAAGAATTTTGAACAACTAAAAGTTAGAGAGGGCAAGATGGGATAAGTCTTTCCATATCAGAAACTAAAACGAATCCACTTTTTACTCCCACCCAATCCGTAAGATGTAATAAAAGGGTCGAAGGTTCCTAATTCCAACACATTTGCTCCACCCCCAAATTTATGAGATAGACAAATTATATGCACATGCTTTAACAACAATGTATGAGTGAGATGCAGGAGCATGTCACTTACCAGCCCCCCGAATCTGGACTTATCTGCAACCTTAGCTTTATGATGACGTGGATAACCTGCAATTATCAAATCATGTGGAATAAAGGGCGTGCATATGAAAAGGCACTTCTAACGCCTTAGAAAGCTTATGCATAAAACGATATGGTTAAATCTTAAAGGAGAAAACTGAAGGAGCTAACAACTCTAAGAAAGCAAGGTAATCAGAGTCTCCACTGCTTCCAAAAGAATATTACTCTACAGAGGTCAACTGACCAAAAGTCATACAAGAATAAAACCACACTAGCTTAATTAAAAATATGCCACATCTCATTGGTTTGGAAACAACAGCAAACTACTCATGTAAGGGAGAACGATCTGCATGCATGAGGTGTCATTAAAGCTGACTGCTATCACCATATCATTCTTTAAAAATATTATCTACAATATGTTATCACTGCTAAAGGGGACGGAGACATATTAAATTCTTAAGTTTTTTTTTTATAGTGATAACGAGTACTTACATAATTCAGGAGTGAGTTTGTTCTTTTACTAAAAGAAAGGAAAGGAAAAAAGGCGTGTTGTTTCTGCTATATTTTTCTACTATACAGGTTATCTCTTTCAGTTATACATTGGCCCTGGTCATCCAATATTCTACCATTTGTCGTATCTCCTCACTTTCACGCCTGTTATATTGTGCATTTAAGGAAACAATAAGTAGCAAATGCCAGTTATCCAAAAAATTCTTCACACATCTAGACACAAATTTCCTCTTCTTTGCCTCTGTGTGTGGAATCCAACAATTTGTCCTTAATCATTATCATCTCCCTGCTTTGAAATCTTACATATATTCAGCTTTTCTTAACTTGAGAATGGTGCATGTAATTTTTGTCTTCTGCTGCATTAATTATATTGATTTCAAGTGGTTTCTTATTGCAGGTTTATTTAGTTTCTTGTATCCTTGTAATTCCTTCACTTTTAATGTTCTTTACTCCTTATCAAGAATGGCAACAACAATTAAGAACCTCTACCAGTCAACTTTGTCCTACTTCCAAGGAGAGACCGCACAGGACATTACTGGACCTAATATAAAAGGGGGATAGAAATCTATTGAATATCAGCACGGAAAGAAACCAAAGTAAGGCAATAAATAGTCAAATTTCTAAATAGCTTTCTATCAAAGATAGAAGTGTGATAGTGTGACCAAGTACTGAAAATAAAAGAATAAGTTTTCGAATTAAAAGGAATATCTTTCTAGGATTGAGATAAATATTCCCACTCATACGAGTGTACCCAGAAAGGCAAGACTAAAAAAGAGGTAGGAAGCAACTCAGCTAAGACAGTGCAATGAATGCAAAATATTCTTCCATTTTAGACTGACCATTTTCTAAACATAACATCTAAGAAAAAACTCTTCTTACCCGTGAAAACAACAAGTCCATCAGACGATACCCTGGCCAATTCAGGAAGGGTCCTATTGAGATACCTTGGAGACAAGTAATCCAATGCATCTGAGACAATCACAAGTGAAAATGATTTTGCACGATATGGAAGAGGAAACTTTATATCAGCCACGCGGACGATGCCCTTATGCACGAGTTTTTTGCAGAAATGACCTGCATCCTCTATATCATATGGTTCTATACCCCAAGCTTGAGTATCCTCCTCTTCTAACAATCTAGCAACTACCGAGCAAGTATCAGGGCCAACATGCAGCACCTTATGCATGCTATCTCCATATGCTTTCTTCAGAAAAGGAATCGTCTTTTGAACCTCTACAGCACATGAAAAGTCCCCTGCACAGGTAAAACTGGTTCAAGATTCTAACTCGGCTGTAATTACATACAGCAGTAACTTTCTCTTCAGAAATGTCAAGTCGAAGAAACCAAGGCACTATTACCCAAATTAAACTAACGCAATTAATCTTCTAATAAGCAAGATTGGGAGTCAGTAGCTCCGCATATAGGCTATATAGAGATTCTTGATAGGCATAGTGCATGGTCACTCCACTCACCTAGAATGATAAATGATAGTGAATTACCAATCTTGTTACCTATTCTATGCTCTTGAGTCAAGTGATGTAAGAAGTGTGGGGAATTATTCAGAGAATCATAAGTGAACAGAAATCCCCGACATGTTTGATATTAGTTTATTGAAACAGCTATACAGACTGACTGCGTAATAACAATTCACATGATTTTTATCATGGAACACAAGAATCCTGCTGTATGTCATGTACAAAGGCATTATTTTTGAAGTTACAGTTAGATGGTTCATACTTCCTACTATACTCTGAATGAGTTAAAAGTAGAAGCAAGAAATGCATAACATGCTTGTCCGAGTCTTCTTATCGTAAAGTTCTAAAATTATCGTGCAAGTAAAGCTCCGGGCAAGAGCCCAAAAGGAACTGGGGACTCGATTATCAGTAAGTACCAAACTGAAATTTTTGGATGCACAACATTAGGTGATCATGAGTACATAGTTAGAACCATTTTCACTAAACAAGTAATAGACATTTCTGTGCACTTTTGTATATAACATAGTTCATGTGTCATCTAAAAGAAAAATATGTCAAAACTCAAATTCTTCAGAATTATGCATGAGAAATTACCTTCCACTCTACTGATGCCTTTAATACTGCCAAAAGTACCTACAAGCAATGATAATCCATTTATGAGCATCAGAGCAAAGTAAAGAACAATACTTAGAGGCAGAAGCAAACGTTCAAGTTGAGGTAAGGAAAAGCAACGTGTAATTAAGTCACCAACATGACCGTTACTGTCTTACTGATAGCAGAGATTCATTTAAATTGAGATTTTTATATAGAGAAACTTTGAGCTGAGGGTCTATTGGAAACAGCCTCTCTACCTTCCCAGGATAGGAGTAAGGCTTGCATACACATTACCCTCCCCAGACCCCACTTGTGGGATTCAACTGGGTTGTTGTTGTTGTTGTTATATAGAGAAACATTCATCAAAAAATGAGGTAAAAAAGACCAGCATTTTGTTTAAAGAAAAGAAAAGGACCACTATGTTATTTGCAGATAAACATTAAGAAATATGTCGAAGATGATTCATATGCCTTCTACACATCTTCTACATGTGCATATGTTGATGCCACAAAACTATGTTTCGATATCTTCTTTCCTTGAGAAGGTGAGACTGATCATGCAGAGTACTCGTATTGTCTGCTCTTTTTAATAGTTATACAGCTTTCTCTAAAGAAATAAATTGTAGGGAGTCCTCCAAATGAGCTAAAGGGTTTAACTACTTTTTCATTTAAACTAGAAGTTATAAACCTATATCACCTGTAATGCCCCTAGTTCAAGCATACGATACCCAACATTATTCACCTCTTGAGAAAAGTACCTTTTGATGAAACAAGTACAGCGTTCATAAACAATCTCGCAGTAGTTTCGTCACAGACCTCCAGTATTGAGCAATCAGCTGAAATATCTTTTCTTCTTTCTTTCTTTTTGGCCTTTTACAATAAACTCAAGTATAGATATAATTCATGAAACGCCAAGGTTCAGGGTACAAACCTGTGTCACGGTAAAAGTACCCTATGAGAAGAAATGCTCCCTGAAATATCCAAAAGGAAACATAGAGTTACAATTACAGTTTAAATGATTTGAGAATCTAGTTATTTTCCAAGATTATCTACTGCCGTCCAAAATGATAACAATTAAATAACTATTAGTATCAAAATCTGAGAATAAGTACCACAATAACAAGTCCAATCGTTAAATATGGGGAAGACCGTGTCTTTGAGCGAATTGAGGCATCTAATGAAGCTGCTCTGCCATCCGCTACACGTCGAGATGGGTTGATAGGCCTCCTTGACATCATCATAGGTTCCTTGCAACCAAAAGACTAACTTTTTCTGCGCAACATTAGAGACAAGTTAAAATCCTTGAAAATCAATCAAGAACATAAAATGTCAAAACCAAAAGTAGATACCAAAAGCTGTAACATTTCTGGCATTTTTCTTTGCAGAAGTTTCCAAATATGGCATTATCTCAATATTAGGATTAGAACCAGTCATTTAAGAAAGCAATGATTGGAACTATAGTGTAACATGTAACTATTGATTTATTAACCATACTCATGAAAAGAAAGCTAAAAGGGTGCCAAGAAACGACCCAAATTTCAATCATTTACTACAATAGTCCAACAAAAAGAGCAAAAAGGACCCATTTCGATATGAGGAAAAATACAACGATTAGTATTGTGGTGAAGCACACAAACAATATATTTAAAATTATTAACCACACCCATGAACAGAAACTAAAAGGGACATAAAATTCAATCTTTTACTATAATTAGCAGACAAAGGAGCAAAAAAACGTCATTTGGACCCATTTTTTATACAATGGGAAGAAATAAAAATAAAAAGGAAACATAATTTGTACCTGAATCAGTAGTGAACAACGTTGAAACCCGAATCAAGATCCGTTATTTACAGTGCTTTAGTAATTCTTGGTACTCGTGGATATGTAAATCTATTGAATACACAAAATTGGAAATTTGTTTAGAGAAAAAGGTGATATTCTTGATTAGAGATTACAGATTTGGAAAGTAAGGCGCGTAAGGGAGAAGCTGCAAGATTAGAAAATTTGGCGCGTCGGAATTGGAACGGTTGTCATTCAACGGCTTTGCTCACACTTCGGAGCTCCGATTCTCATAAGCAAATCCCACACTGCACAAAGAGTTATCTTTTCTATTTCTTTCTCCTTTGTTCTTTTCCTTGTCAAACAAAATCTTGGTGTAAACTTTTAATCCTAATTGAGCTTTGTTATTTAATAGCAAAATGAATGAGATTCATGAAAGCCCAAGAAAATATCACTTTGACACTAAAATTTTATAGGACATTGATTTGATACCTAATTAATGAAGAAATCGTTCCCACATCACTAATATTTTTATTTGAACTAAAATAAGACAAAGAAAAAAGTTCCAAAAGATGTATAAATACCATTACTTTTAATATTTTCTAAAATATGTTATCATATATTTTTTGTTATGGTTGAATGGACGACATGAATATTTAACCTTAGAGCAGGATAAAAGATTAAAGCTTGAAAAATAAATAGCTAAGTATTAAATTTTCCCAAATCAAGAAATAGAAGTATGAATATTGTCTGTATTGTATACCATTGACAAAAGCATGATCTTATTACTTTAAATGAATATTCATATATCACTATTAGCAGTATAACATGACTTACTAACTCGAAATATTTTAGTACAATAGCATTCAAAAAACTTCCTTCAATTTGCTAGAGACTTAATTATATTTATGACATTATATGCAGTGAATTAAAAGTACCATAAAATCAATTATCGAGTTTTACTGCTTCTAAATTATGTATGAGTCAACTTTCCCAACTATTAAGTTCATGTAGAATATAGTCTCACAATATAATTAAAAATAAAATGAATACCTTAATTAGATTGATATCATGATGGCTTCAGTAGCAAAATAGAAGTCCAAATTTGTTACTTTTACTTTTACATTAAGGAAAGAAAGACGAATTAATACAGTTGACCCGGAAAAGGTCCGACGAGCACTAGCGGGTCGCTGGGATTTAACTACACAACCAATTAAAACCACACACATAGAATAAAAACAGAAATTGAAAGAAAAAAAGAAGAAACAATTTCAATTTTCATCTGAAGTCGGCGTAGAAGAAAAACATCAAAGGTTTTGGATTCTGTTATGGACATAGCATCTTTCATCGGCTCTTTTTGGTGTTTACTTCAGTGATTACAATTTTGGGGTGAATTTTGCAAAGCTAATCGAAAAATGGGTAATGAAAAAGCCGGTAAAGACAATGGCGAAAAACATTACGAAGAAAAAGAGGAGATGAGACTTTGGGGTATTTTTGTTTTTGCGTTAATTGGAGCTACTGCCACCACCTTTGCTGTAAGTTCTTAACCATGTCATTTTTTTGCTTTTGATACTTTTTTTCATTAATTTGTATTTGGGTATTGGTGAAATTCAGTGGTTTTGTGTAAAGTTCTGTGCTTTATTGAGTAATATTGAGATAATGCAATAAATTGGGCATATAGGGCAAATGGGGTTGCGTTTGTTGTTGTGTGAGTTGATATTTTAGGTGGGGGTGGAAGAACCGAAGTTTATGATTGATCAAACTGGGAAGGAAAGAAGATTGAGATATTTAGGTTAACTATGTTTTAGGATCAGTTATAAGTAAATTTATGCCTTGCTTGATTTCAAAATTAGCAGTAATTCCGCCAATATGATTGTTTATCTATTCAGAAAACACAGTGATGTATTTGCTAACGGGCTGATGTGCTGCAGCTTAGGGAACGGCGATCATTCTGTTAATTCTTTTTCTTTTGGTTTTTATTTTTGGGGGGATTGGGG